AAATTGTCTGTCCGTTTATAGGTGGCCGCCTATTAGGTGCCTCCGCAATAAAATGACCACCACTTATGGCCTTAGCAGTGGCCAATGCCATTATAGGAAAGTGCCCACTATTGGGGAAGAAAAAAAAAAAAAAAAACTATGACAATATTATTTTTTAAAAAGAAACTTACATTCCAATAAGAATGCATAGAAATTTTTACAATACAATATCTAATAAGGTATTTTCATTTCTACATCACAGTAACTTGAACCTCTCTTGTTCTTACATTTGTTTCTGCTATTCCTTAAGCCTCAAATCATCTAATGCATAATTAGAGAATGTGAATAGGAGAAGTTGTATATATATATTCAGTTAAGTCTGGATATCACTTCGTGTTTGCTTATCTGTGATTGGTTAGTTTTGTATCAGGCTCTTTCAAGGTTTTTGTATAATGTTTATCTTCAAGAGTTAGAAGGGTAAGGTTCGGCGTGACCTTCACGGGTACTTTGAGAGGGGGTTTGCATTTGCTATTCATAAGTTTACTGTATGTAAAAATATGCACATTTTAGCATTTCAGCGAGCAACTTTTCATTTGAAAGTTAAAAAATGAAAATGTCTCATAGTAACTAACTATAAGACTATATATAAACAAGCATAATTAGACATACAGTACTAAATATGTTGTTGTTGTGACTTATCTCACGTGTCTAATAGTAGCATCAGAACAAGCCCCTTTGAGCACCACACAGGTGACAGTATGACTTTGCTTAATCATGCCTCTAGTTTTGGTGGAGAACACCCCGTGGAAGGGTCAGTTTCTCCGGGGCTACTTTGGTAGACGGTTGCACGGATTTTGGCGTTTTTTTGGGGTGGGTGAGCGATACGACATATGGTAAACCCATTGCTAGACAAGTTATTTATGGTAACCGATACTTTGTTGTCATTTTATTTAAAAAATAATGCGTTTTATTATGCATAAATTCCATGTTTTAAATATTATTTATGGCTTCTAAATATTAAAATTCAATTTAATTTTGCATTTTTATTTGAAAAAATTGACGTCCCATTTCTTTAAAAGTAATTGGCCTTAATATCTATAAATTTAATCTAATGTTTTAAACATTATTTATGGCTGTTAAATTTTAAAATACAATTTAATTTTGCATTTATGTTTGAAAAATTATATTATTATGTATGATTATTTAAATAATTTTAATTTTATGCGTGATGTAATCAGCTCCCTGATTGGTTACAGAGTATTTGTGCATTAACGAGCTGTAATCAGCTCCCTGATTGGTTACTGAATATTTGTACATTACCGCGCCAGTTTAAAATTTTATTATTCATCTCTTCGAATTTCTTACATTTCATACGGAACGGATATGTCCCTTTCAAAGATTAATGTTGTTATTATTAAGTACCAAGAATTATTGGTATCGGAATCAAAAAAATTGTCCTTTGAGACCTTATTTTGGCAACCTGGTTTTCTTAAAGATTTATTTATAAATTGTTGCAAGGGTCAGAGGAAATTTATTTTAAATTTTTGGAAGAAATCTCGCTAATTGCTTCTTCAATGAAGTGCGAGAAATGTTGATCACAGATGAAGATGGTTAAAAGAGCCGATTCTGAGGACGGCAGTATATGGGATTGTGGTTTACGGAGGAAGAAATAACCGCTGTAACGGTAAAAAAGTATTAGACATTCCTTTTTTTTTTACCGGCAGTAAACTTCTAATTGCTGTCATTTTAGCTCTAGTATACGAAGCGTTCTTATTTACTTATTTTAAAGTATTTGGATTTAAGGAATTTTGATGGTTTTTAATTCGATATTATTTAATAAGATTTTATCCAATAACGTTGGCGGAATGTTTTTTATAGCGGTGTTTTTATTCTATTTCATTGCTATATGAAAGAAGTAATGAACTTACGTTAGTATTTTATACACGTAGTAAATGTATTTATTTACATTTACCTGCCATCCTAAAAAACAACGTTTTAAACAAAAAATTAATCCATTATTTTTAACGATATTTTTTTAAAGTTTCGAATACTTTACTACGGGCAAAATACGTAAAAACAGCGTTTTTCAAGATGGCTGACGATTGTTAAAACCGCGCCAACAATTGCGCCAAAGTAAATCGCCAAAAATCCGTGCAAGCGTCTACCAAAGTAGCACCGTGTCTCCCACCGCTCTTTCCCTACCATCAACCTCTCGAGAGGATTTTCAGCTCTCCGCATATTTAGAATGCCCCATGCCGCATGGACACTATACATTTACAAACATCCATGTCTTCTCCGGGATTCGAACCCGGACCCTTCGTTACGGCATTCAGAGTCGCTAACCACTATCCTGGTTGAGCAGCAATATTAAATATACTAAGATAATAATCGAAAACTGGTAAACTGCTTCCGAATAGCGTTGATCGCTAGGATAAGGCTCGTTGCATGGGTGTTCTTTCAATATGCTATTTGCATGTACCCCTTTTTTTTTTCTCCTTCCTGTTATATGAATTAGAAGTGTGAAGTGTAATATTTCATCAGCTGCAAAATCAAACCAAAACTAGCATTTTTAGACGAAAGCTTTTGAAAAATGTAGCTTTTCACTCATTTATTTCTATTTTATTTTTCGAAGTTTAAATGGCCTTTTGATACTATTACTTTTCGGCCACAGTTTTCTTGCAATTTCACATAAAACTGCAATTATGGTCATGTCGTTAGTGTTTGGTTTTTTTTCCAATTTTCAGTTTGTCTTCTTCCGTCTTTTTGATTGAAATAATGTGCATTAAACAGTAAAATATATTAAATTAAAAGAAATCTTTTATAGAATTGTCTAAACTAAATATTTTTTTCAAGAAAGCGAAAATTTGCGCCAATTGGTTATACATAGTTTCGGTCCCAAGATCATGCAGTTCTTGGCTATAATACTGTTATGACATGTTACGGTTCATTAAAACTTAAGGCTAATAAGAAGGTTTTTTACAAATGAAAGAAATAGTAAAAAGTACGGAGTAAAACTATATGAAAAGTAATGATGAAAAACTATATGAAAACTGAATAAAGAGTATTCAAACTCCACTTGCTGTATTCAATATTACGCTGTCTACAGTATCTGAATAGCAAGCTCTATCTACTAAAATATTCTTAATTTGGTTTGCACTGGAAATTTTATTTGAAAAGCTCAGATTGTCTCTTTCTTAAAGGATTTATTTTTCAACAAAGGAAACAGTATAAAGACTTCTGTAGTTCATATATTGAGATTAAACAGAAACGTTTACGTATCGGGGGAGAATTGTATTCTAAATTTGCAATTTTTCCCTCCAAAGCTTTTTTTTTTTTTTACTGTGAAAAAGGCAACGAAGGTGTTTCGAAATTGTGCCCCCAACCCACCCCCCACCACCCCCCACCCCCGCCCCATCCCCACCCCCCCACCCCCCCCCCCCCCACCCCCCACCACCCCCCACCCCCCCCCCCCCCCCCCCACCCCCCCTCCCCCCCTCCCCCCCCCCCCCCCCCACACCCCCAACCCCCCACCCCCCCCCACCCCCCCACCCCCCCACCCCCCTGGCGCATCAGTTGAAAACACCTGTTTCAAACGCAGTTATTCGGTATTAAATGTCTGTTTAAGGTGGATATCGATTAATGCAGGAAGGTGTTGGAATCCAGATATATTGTGACAAGCTTCAAAGCATCTACTGTATTAACATGCTTATAAATCTCGATCATTGGAGCTTAGCTTCAAGCATGCACACCGATGAAGGGTAAAGCAATTTTAAAAACTTCTTAAGAAGTTTCTTTATAACAATTATTATGGCAATAATGATTCCAAATTATTTGAGGCTGTAAATAACAGGTGCGCAATGAATACAGAGAAGCAGTTAAAATACTTTCGATAAATTCGAAGAGAAGTTGCCTTTACGTACTATGAAAGACCATGAAAAGACACAGAGGAACAGATTCCTGCATAGATAAACTATCAAACTGCTATGGGATTACAATTTATAGGGCAATGAAGATAAACTAATCTTATTCTTACACCTTTCGCCATTGCAGTTATAATTAGAAACTTCAACATTGCTGTTTATTCTTCAGATGCCCCGGGGCCCACCAGCGGCCGAGCGGTAAAGACGCTGAACACTGGTAGCTCGGTCCGAAGTTCGAATCCCGCGAACGGGCTGGCTGCGTGGGCGTTTTCGTGGTTTTCTCCATGTGTAACGTGTACACGAGCCAGTTTCCCTTAGAAAGTCCTCCACGAAGGCACCCCTCCCTTTAGGCAGATAGCCCTCGCGTGCTTTGCCATAACTGAATAATCCCATCCCATCCCTCTTCAGATGCCCCATAATGGTTTTCATGTTCCGAAAGGTAGCTTAAATATTAATTGACTAAAGCACTAAATGAAATGTTGTTTGATAAATATTTTAGACTCATTAGAATTATAAATGTCACTAAATTAAATACTGATATTTGACCAGAAATTATTTTTAAAAAAATGTTGTCAAGGGAAAGGGTCAAAGCAAAAACATGAATTTAAAAGGTGTCCTCTTTAAAGTAATTCCAAAGCAAAACTGTGGAAATTTAAATACTACAATTAGATTCCTTCGCATTTGTGTTAAAAAACTAAACGAAAAGCAAATACAGAATTAGTAAAGTATGAATATTATTTCTTAGATGCTTTTGCTTCCCATCAAGTACGACTGAAATTAATTATTATTAAGAATTATATTCGTACTAAAACACTTAGTTAAAAAAACAATTGGGAGTAAATTCAGAAGCGAAGTCTTAAGAAATTAAGACAGTTCAAATCAATACGCATTGCTTATTCAATGTTTACTCAAAATGTTTAAAATGTATAAACATATATGCAATGATTATAGCCTCAGTACCTTTTTTCTACTGAGAAAAATTTACTTCTGCTAGACAAATGGTTAGTTATAGTTTCTAATTTTTTAAGTCAGTTTATGGTAAAAAAATATCTGAAAATGTTTTATTAAACAAAATCTGAATGATAAAATTTCTCTTCGCAGAAAGTCCACTACCATCACATCAAGCTTCTGGTTCCCCTCCCTTCCACTCGCCTTACCGTTTGGATCCAAATACCTCAAGTAGATCATCGAGTCCAACTGCCGCTTCAGCATCCCAATTCCGACAAGATTCTGGAGGCGAAGGTTCAGACTCCGAACATGAGACGGGCTCTAAATCTCTTTGTTCAGGAGAAATATCTGGAAATGGTGATGACAAAAAAGCAAAAACTCATAGACGGAAAAAGAAAACAAGAACTGTCTTCACAAGAAGCCAAGTGTATCAACTTGAAGCGACGTTCGAAATGAAACGGTATCTCTCTAGTTCCGAAAGGGCTGGACTTGCGTCTTCCTTGCACTTATCTGAAACGCAGGTTAAAATATGGTTCCAGAACCGCCGCAACAAATGGAAGCGACAAATGGCAGCAGATATGGAAGCAGCCAATTTACATGCCGCCGCTACGCAAAGACTTACTAGAGTACCAATTTTGTACCACGACCGAGGTGTAGCCTCCAGTGGCGGGGCGTCTCCTATACCAGGTAATGGGTTGCCTGTCGTGACTGCAGCTGCAACTGCATTTCCAAACTATCCAGCTCTGTTTTATCCACCTTATGCTACTGTCCAACCCACTGCTGTACGACCCACGCTATCAGGAATGGGTTAATATAAAATCTATGAATATTGTATATAGTATCATAAATAGTACATTATATATACATTTATATATAGTCTCATCTATTAATGATGTATAATATAATAGAAAAGGATGAAAGGCGTGAAGAATGTCATGTTTACATAGCAAAAAAGCTTAGCCAGTAAGAAATTAATACAAAAGTTCCTTTAGTTAAAATTTTCTCAAATACATAAAGCATGATTTCAGTGATTTCGATTATGTTAATGATAATTTATTGAATATAAATCAAAAGTGATGTTAAGAGATGTAAGATATATAAACTATTGTTCGAAATTCGTTTTGCTTCTTAAAAAATAAGCTTCAAATTTTGTGTATTTTCGAACAGCAAATAGTAAACTAAAGAATAATATTTTAATTTATGTAATTTTGCATTTTCATGAAAATTATTTAATGGTTATCAGTTTTATGAGGAGCGAAGATTGAGTGCTTAGCGTATGTAGTTGAAATACACTTTTGAAGGGTGGAAACATGTTACGAACGGCGTGATTTAAAATAGTGAGCTTAAGTGATTTTGCTTGTCTCATAACCGTACGTTCATTTTTTGCATAAATGTTTTGAAAAGTTGCCGCCCAAAACTTCCTTTAGTTCTAACTTTTTAGCCTTAAGTTATTATGTAAATTCCAAACCTTTTACATTCACGTGTTACTAATATCCGAATCTAGAGCCACTGCTACATTCCTGTTCAGTATTATAAATGCGATTTCACACTAGCACAGTTCAGCTCATTAAACACGACTTCCTTTCTTAAATTGAACTTTAACGTGAAAAAAATATATCCGAAATTGTTTTTAAAAAAATCTGTTTTCTCTTTAAACAATAACTTTTCAATATTATTTTCAATACTTCTGGCTCCTATGACAAAAGTATTACCGTTTAATTTTCTCTAATTATATTAATTTCCAAGTCTTCAGGGCTTACGAAATCTATTTAAAATGAAAGCAACAAAATGTAAAGTTTGTGATTTAGATAGTAAAAGCTGATTTAGTTTAGAAATTTCTGCCAAAACTGAACTTTTCCCTCTCAGCTCAATGGTTAAAAACCACTGAATACCGGTAGTTCGACCTGGTTTGGGTTCAATCCTGGGCGAACGTGCTGGCTGCATGGTCTGTTTTCGTGCATGATGTAACATGAATACGAGCCAGTTTGTCCTCTTAGGCACATAGCCATATTCGAATAACCTAACCTAATGTCTCTCCTTGCTCGTCCACCCTATATAGCTTTTAAATTACTAGTTTTCAGACATATTTTTTTATTGATACCTAGCACATTCTTTTGAATGTTCGCTTCAGATTTATCTTACAAAAGTATTCAATGAATTTTAATTCATTTTAAGTGAAATTTAAAATATATTTGCAAATGAATTTTTCCGTAATATGGCTGCGGACATAAATTAAATATGTAACTTTAAAATTTAAGGGGTAAGCAATGGTGATTTATATATTAATAGGTTAATTATATATTAATAAGTATTGTAAGTAGTTCGAAAAGGAAGAATAAAATAACACTTTTATATTGACACTAAAATTATCTCTGCAGATGTACAATTTGCATTATTATCTTTAATCTGTTTCATTAATATCTTTAAATTGAATTATTCTTTTCGTTCGTAATGCATGAAATGCTGCGAATTTCATTTGCAGAAAAATGTGTTGCCTTGCAGAAAATGACTTGACTTGCAGAAAAATGTGACACTAACAATTGTTGTCTTATACCGCTGATAGCAATATCAAATTAAGCCCGCGAATTTCATCGTGGCCTACAGGCAACTGATGCGCCTGTTGTTGGCTTAGGCCTTGCACACCTTATAGGTGACAGTGTAAATTAGCCCAGCTTCGTCCCATTTTCTCGGGGGACGGATCCTTGGATCTTGCATATCTTCGACATCCTTCTCCGGGATTCGAAACCAGGCTCAAGTTTTGCTAGCAGGGCTTCTTAACATGGCACTCATCTTTTTCTGCTGTTATAAGAAAATATATGTATTATATTAAGTAAAGGCAAATTTTCGAGTGGCATCCGTAAAACGCATAATACATTAACTAATTTATTTGATTTTAAACCAAGAATAAATTTTAAAACTAAGGAACTTGTGTCATTGTAATTTAATTGCGCACTTAAAATCGTATTTTACTCCTTAAAATATATTTGTGGCAGGTCCATATATTTAAACAAAAAATTTGCTATATATTCCCATATAAAATTGTATATAATGTATATAGTGATTCACTGATTTCATATAATCATCATTTATTTATTTCATCATTCATTGTCATTTTGAATTTATTTATATTTCTTGTGAGCTTCTTACGAAGGCGCTGAGAAATTTATAGATATATCTTCAAACGCTTGGAAAGTATTCTAAACTAAACTTAAACTGTAAAAAGAAAGTTGTGAGAGAAAATATATAGATATATGTAAATAAATAAATAAATATGAAATGATCTTTTGTAGGTTTTGAACCAGAAAACAAAAATGTACTTGATATTCATGAATATGAATTAAAAAGTTTTCATTTCCAGTCATTTGTGTTATTTTTTCTTCCATTTAGTATCACTCCAATGTACATGCTTAAAATTTTCTTTAGTATGGAATACCATCATTTTCATTATAACAAACTCAAATGCGTTATAATTACAGCAGATTATTTATTTTCTTATTTGAAGTTTGAAATTTATGAACTTCTGTGCTCTAATTGGTGCATTTGCATTTCTTCATTTATAGCTAAAAAAGAAATTCATTTTTCTAACTTTAAACAACTGAAAGCTTCTAAATTTCAGTAAATATTTACAAAAAAAAAAAAAAAAAAAAAAAAAAACTGATGTGTACACCACATGACTTCCTTGTATTGGAATATTAAATTATACGCATTTTTTCTTGCATTTCATTTAAACTTATTGGATTGAATTAAATCTACTTCGCCGACAGCGCATAAACCACAATAGAATAAATGCATTCTTTAAAATTCACTCTAGTATTTGTTTACCATAGCGACACTCTGGCGCTAGGTTCACTTAACAGTATTAATAATTATATAACAGTTAACTTATATAATAATTTTATAACGGAAACTAAGTTTAACTGTTTATATATCCAATAATTATATAACAGTTAACTATATATTTCGTTCATATTATAACTCATAATGCACAAAATTATATCATTTAAAGAATAGAATTATCTAATCGTTGCCACATGTTCTATTCAAATACTATAATAAAGCTAGAATGATGTATAAAAGAAATTAAGCAAAAAAAAACAAAAAAAGAAACAGTTTTTCACAGACGATTGAGTGTTTCTCATTTAATTAATTCAGTTCTCACTTCGCGAGAAGGCAAAAATATATAAAACTCAAAATATCTATATTAAAAATTACGAAATAAATCTTAAACGTTTATTTCCTCGAAAAAATTCCAGAAAGGATTAAGCATGATTTAAATAATAAATGAAGGCGTTATCTTTGTTGTTGCGAAGCTAAGTTTCTCTAGATTGGCAACAAATCCACTAGTCTCCTGTTTCAAATGTAAACATCAATGGCCGCCATTAAAAAAAAGGCTTAGCGGCAATTAAACAACTTTAAAATTGCTGATAATTCTAAAAATATTGCACACAGATTTACTAAAGGCATAAAATCCTTAACCGGAAGATAAAAACAACATAATTCAATTCATTTTTAAAGCAAAAAATGTACATTTACAAACATATAAGAGTAAAGAAACTGAGATCACTGAGCCGGGTAACAAAGTGGATATATATATAAATATATTTATACGTTTGGTGCGGCCGATTGCAACCAAAATACGAGGTGCACATCTAAATGTTATAGCAGTCCTATATACAAAATTTCAACGTTCTGAGGCTACTCGTTTTGAGTTATGCGCGAGATACGTACGTACGCACGAACATACATACGTTCGTACAGACGCGACGAAAAATTCTCTTCAGAATTAATTTTAAAGCAGTTTTATAATTTTTTTGAAGGAAAAGAGTATTTTATTCTGTCCTTACGTACAGATATCACGCAAAGACATCGTTAAATTGATTTGATAACGGTCAAAATGGATATTTTCGTTGAAATATGCTGCCTGAAACTTTTCGCGATTACAATACTTCCTTTTTACTTCGCACAAGGAAGTAAAAAAGGGATGTAGCGTCAGATCAAAAGGTAAAAATGAAGCTTAAATACAAATCATTTATAAGTTTGTTTCTTAAATCCTTTCAATCTCATTTTTAACTAAAGATTCTCTTTTTCGTTAAATCTGCGTTGACACGTAATCTTAAAATGGTGTTTTAATGCATCTGTTCTAATTTGAATAGCTTCCTTTAAACTCGCACTAAATAGCATATTTTTTGTAACTCTATTGTTTTTGTAACATACAGTTCATACGTATGTTCCATAACATCATGGCAAACCAGAAAAAGGATGACACTATCAAAGACTGTTTACGCTGGGGTTTATCAGACCTACCCAAGTAGGTTCCATGTGTCGACTAGCTCTGCTGTACGTTCAAAGATTTTTCAACTGGAATGGGGGATCCGGGGAGCAGTGTCGGTTGTACCAGATCCATATAAGTCAAGAAAAGGCTTAGTCTGAACGGCCCTTCTATTCCATTTAATAAAGTCGGTCCCCGGAATTTCGAGCCACTGCAGATCTCAAGTTTTTTTCGTTATGTCCGATTCGATAAAGAAAAAATGGATCATCTAGCAAACTAGGTAAAAATTGAATTATGAAGCATAAAAATGAACTGATTAGCATTGCCACATTGTCCCAAAGGAAAGGAATAATTGCTATAACTAAAAATAATTCTAAGGGTTAATTGCAATTATTGTTGCCTGCAAATATTTTTTTTTTTTTTTTTCAGTTTTATCCCACTAGTAAATTACTTGGCATAAAAGTGAGGTTTCTTTCTCCCAATTACAGGTCTTCTTATTAAATACACTTTTAAAATTACGAATAATCGTTTTGTCCATAAAAA